GTGTATAAAATCAAAACATAATCTGATGGTTCTGTGGAGAGTTATAAGACACGCTTGGTTGTCAAGGGTTTTACACAAGAGTATGGAATAAACTATGAGGGAATATTTGCTCCAGTTGCTAGTTTCACATTTGTGCGTAGTTTGCTTGTTATTGCTACTATACGATGATTGAAATTATTTCAGATGGATGTAAAAAAATGCCTTTCTTAATGGTGACCTAGAAGAAGAAGTTTATATGAAACCATCTCCTAGGCTCAACCATCCTCCAAACAAGGTATGCCAATTGTGATGTGCATTATACAGGTTGAAGTAATTCCCTCGAGCCTGGTATGCAAATTTTAGTGCTACTGTGAATGAATTTAGTTTTACTTCAAATCCACATGATACAACTCTATTCATTCATAAGACTACTTGGGGTATGGTTCTTTTACGTCTTTACGTTGATAATATGATTATTACTAGAGATGATACCGCAAGTGTTGAGGAGCTAAAACAATCTTTCAGTCAGAAATTTGAGATGAAAGATCTTAGTGATTTGAGTTATTTTTGGGGCTTGAAAACACCTTTTCAGATGATGACTACCTACTTTCTCAAGTAAAGTATGCCTCTGATCTTGTTTCTAAACTCAATGGTAACAAGAGCGTTTTTCTACACTTTTTGAACCTAATATCAAGCTTTCACCTATGAATGGTTCTCTGCTTTCTAATTCTGCTCGTTATCAACAATTGGTTGGTAGTTTGGTTCATCTTACCACGGCACACCTTGACATAGCATACGCAGTTCACATTCTTAATTAGTTTATGGCTACTCCTCGCTCCAATCATTATGCAGCAATACTTTGCATTATTCACTATGTTAAGAGAACATTGTTTCATAAACTCCATTTTTCTACTAACTCTTCTCCTGTGCTTCACGCTTACTTTGATGCTGATTGAGTTGGTGATCGTTTTGATTGCAAATCTACCATTAGTTACTGTCTTTTCCTTGGTAATTCTCTTATTTCTTAGCGAAGTAAGAAACAAACTATTTAATCTCGCTCTAGTATTGAAACTAAGTATAGAGCTCTTGGTGATACTACATTAGAACTTCTTTCATTACCATGGCTTCTTGAAGATATGGGCATTCCTTAGTCTTCTTCTACTGATTTATATTGTAATAATTAAAGTGCTATACAAATTACTCACAATGATGTCTTTTATGAACGCACAAAGCATATTGAGGTTGATTGTCACTTTATTCATCATCATACTGCAAAGGGAACTATTTGTTTGATTTTCATTAGTTCTGCTGATTAGCTCGTTGATTTGTTTACCAAGACTCACTTCCCTGGACACTTTCAAACTCTTCTTTTCAAAATCAAGTTGGTTTCCTCACCATCTTGAGTTTGTAGAGATGTTAGAATATCAATATTTA